AGTTGAGCTCTTGTCCTTTCAAGTTAAATATGATTAGAGGCCGGGCCGACCGAAGGCCTCGCTCCTAAGCATTGGGTGGCTCAGAATTCGACACTATCCCCGCGTTTTCCTTACAGAATCGAAACAGCTTCACTGCGGGGGTCTTCAGCAGCAGCCGCCTCAATACGACAGGCTAATAGGGCGCCGGCTCCCACTGCTCTACCTGCCTCCGTTCCTCTACCTGGCTCCAATCACCAACAAAGCCGCGGCGCCGGCAGTAAGTCTGCCCAGATCGGCCGCTAAACGATTTCCATCGCTTCCGTTCGCGCTCTACTGCCGAAGACGTCCGGCCGACCGGCCGACCGGCGGGGCGGGGGCGGGGGCGGGGCGGCACGTGTCCGCCGCTGGCGCCACACAGGCGGCCACCGCGAGATTGCCGCCCTGCGCCGAATTTGAATACGGCGCCGCCGATGGTATTAGACGATGCCGAAGGCCGGCGGCGGAGAGGGACCGGGGAGGGCGGGACTGGCCAGAAATGAGAGTTTGCTCGAAGGAGGTCGGGTGGGGTCCGTTGGGGCTGGTCAGAAATGAGAAAGCTGAGGTCAAAGGCAGGTCACTGGCGGTCTGAGAAAGAAGTTCACCGATGCAAGACGTGACTTACACCGCATCCAATCAAACCTTCACTGCCTAAACCAATATAGCCGCTCTTGCTCACTCACTCAGCAGCATTTACTGCTGTCATCAGTATCGTAACTCAGGTCCCACCAGTCCCGTCACTGCTCCCATCCGTCCCGTCAGTCACCGCTCCCACCAGACCCACCAGTAGCCACCGCTCCCACGCACCGGTCCCGTCGTCGTCCCGCCCAGTCGCCTCAAAGTGGCCGTGGCGCCGGCGGCGGCTGGCCGCGCGGTAATTGATGAATTGAGCTCTAATCAGACCGTGATCCGGTCAGCGCGAGCCGCACCACCGCAGATTGAAATTAATGGCCGGGCTGGCGGGCCTGCCGGAGCCGCCGGCCGAGCGAGAGCCGGTGTGACACGGTGACCCTGACCCTCCGTGACCCCAGCCGGAGGTGAGCCCTGAACCGCGACACATTGGGTCTGTTCCAGTCGCACTTCCTAACACCTCTTAACTCCTCCAAGAGCAATATAGAGGAGGTTGGAGCAGGGCCCTCCTTGGCTTTGTAGGGGTTAGAGCTGCCACTGGAACAGTGAAGCAATCTTGGAGGAGTTTAGAGGTGTTAGGAAGTGCGACTGGAACAGACCCAATGACAACCGGAGACAGTGACCAGAGACACCGGTACGCTACACGAACACAGTGGGTCCCTGAAAAAGACTGTGACCTGCTCACGGCCAAAATACTGAGATTCACTGAGACCAGGGTGACTTGGCGGGACTCACCCCCTTCGCAACAAACTGACGGGTGCCTGAATCAGACTGTGACTGGTGACTGAATCAGACACTGTGACTACCGACTGTGACAGTCTGACGTCACAGTCAGCCGAAGCACGCCTGCCCACAGTGGAAGCCGTTTGGGAAACTCACCAGTACTTCTGAAAGGCCACGTTTGTATGTGGGTCGAAAAGCGAGGGTAATAAACGTCTTCAAAGAGTTTAAAGATCAGAGCAGAACACCCACCGTTTATCGATAGGGTGATGCAGATGCGACGATAAAACTTTCTGGTGAACGCAATCAACGCCCTAAAACATGGTCCAATGGAGAGGCATCATAAGCGCAACCCTTATCAGCGCCACCCTTATGGCTAATTCAGCCCCCAATGGTTATGGGTTATTCAGCTCCACCATCACACGACATTGGAGCCACTCTGTTAGACCATGGGCTGCACTGGACCCGCGGAAGACGGACTGCGTCAGATTCAAAGGCGGACTGCGCTCGACTCCGGGGCAAACTCGGCCAAGCTTTAAGACGGACTACGCCTGATTCCAGGACGGACCGCGCCAGACTCCGCACGGACTCGGCCAAACTGAGACGGACTGCGATGGATTCCAGGCCGCATTGCGCTCGACTCCGGGGCGGACTCGCCCGGACTCCGGGACGGACTCAGCCGGACTCCGGGGCGCCTGTATTCCGGCGGCAGCCAGCCGTCGGCGGGGCGGCCCGCCGGCCGCGGCACCCCGGGTCGCTACAGACACAGCTAATGGCACGACCAGGAAACGATTTTAGCCGGGCGGTGCGCCGGTCGCCGATCGCCGCACAATACCGCGGAGAGAGCGGCCCAGCGGTCGGCCCGACCGGCCGGTCGGTAAACCGACAGAGACGCGGACAGCGAGACAGGGTAGCGGGCGACAGGGTATGTACGGGCGACAGGGTCTCAGGCGACAGAGTAACAGACAACCGGAGTGACAGACGACAGAGTAGCAGACAACTGGAGAATGGTCCGAGACCGAGCGACCTGTCCAGTGAAACACGGGACAAGTGGACACGGTATGGATGCTGATAATCGGGGACCTAGTGGGGCAGACGGAGGTCCACCTATGAGCTCGTAACACAGGAGCATGGGTCTCTCGAGGCATCCATCCGTCGTACAACAACGTCTCGGTTCGTGTCAGACACAGCATCGACGGTGTTCATCAGTAGCCGGTCCGACATCCACTGACCATAATCACACCGTGCTCTGAGGCTGTCTGGCCAGGAAGACCGGTCCCCTCCCCATCCCGCCCTCGCCGAGCGGCGGTCGACCAGCCCTCAGTGCCCCGTGGGCGACGGTACAATGGGCGCGGCGTATTGGAAAAACTCCGGCTCAACGGCGTTAGGCCGATAGTGGAAAATTGCAGCCCATCTTGGATTGGCAGCCCCGGCGACCGTACCCGAGACCCGTCCGAGCCACCCTCGACAGCCGGGGATATGGGTATTGAAGGGGGCAGTTTGGTGGCGGCACCCTGTTATGTGTGTCCGGTAGTGACGTGGGCTTTGTTTCACGACAGGGTTGATGTTGAGGTCATTAGGCACTCAGTGTTTCATTCGATCTCTTTCATTTTCTTTTTCAGATAAAAAGGAAACACATTATAAATTCTCAAAGATATTAAGATCAAGTTTCTGTTAGATTGCTTACTACAATGTTGTAGTCTGCGACGATACACACAACAATGTGATGTTGCTGCACAAAATATGCGCGAAGCGATGGAACATCCGACGAGCGTGATTCGCATCGCAAAGTAACAGTTACCTATATCCCGTCGTAACTAAAAGCAATTAGGAGCAAAGTGTCAAAGTACACCAATTCTGGTTCAAAACGCGTCGTAGCCGGTCTAATTTACAATTTACCATTCCTTATGTACCGGGCTGGTTTTGTTGTCTGCAGACAAAGTATAACATTCAACAGTGCGCCACCGCGTCTGTACCCTTTGTGTGCATTTGTGCCGGAAAGCGTTGAGCCCGCGGCGGCGAGACGACGTCCAAACAGGGCCTTTTGGGCCGGCCGGTGGCGCCGGCCGGCTAATTCCGCCTCTGTCGGTAACTCAGTTTCCGAGGTTGGTCGACAAAGACGCGCTCCCCTGGGACCACAGCGCCGGACCGGGCCACGCGCCGCCGCCACCGGGGCTGACGGGGAGAGAGCGGGGGAGAGGTGGGCGGAGAGGGAGAGTCCGTTGAGAGCAGCGGCGCTCACCGGACGCCGACGCACGTCGGAGCCGTTAATAAACGTTCCAAGTATTTCGGGAAGTTTTAATGGCCGTCGATCGAATTAGCAGTCATGGCCGTGTGTGCCCGGGTGAGGGCGGAACAGTGTGGGAAGGAACAGACCCGGGTCCAGTCACTGCTGCACCATCCAATCCAGACCGGTCCACGAGCCGGGACCGGGAGCAAATCAGCGGCCAGACGCTGACAAATGCATGACTGCGTCGGCGATAGTTGTGCCAGAATTCTGTATCAGATACCGGTAGAGCATCAAGTATGGACGGAACGAAGTTTCCTGGATTTGAAAGGCAGAATCCGAGGGGTTGTTCCAAAGTGAACACGAGAATGATTTTCCATACAGCTGTAGAAAACAAAGATATACGCGGCGGACGAGAAAAGGGACTGGCTGCGACAAACATTTGCCAGCCTGGCTCTGACGGGGAGCAGATCAAACGGATGTCTGGTGCGCCATTCTCGGGCGGACGAGCAGCGCGGCTGCTCCAGGGTAGCACGGCATTGCAAGCCCGGGGAGACGCAACACATCACAGAGTCTCACTCCATACCGCGAAACACCTGTCGGCCAAAGACGCAATCTCGCCGGTCACCAGAGTGTCTCCTTTTCCCTATTTCCGTATCTGAGTCTGCATAATTAAAAAATATACATTTCTCTTTCGCAGAGTTTTATAGTTTCCGACTTTCCGTCCATCTGGGACTTCCGTTTCTGCCCTTATCTGTCCGTCCGACTCTGCTACTGTCTTTGTCTCCGTTTCAAGTTTTGTCGTCTGTCTATCTCCATCTCTAGGTATCTATCTGTCTGTATCCGTCTCTAAGACTCCGCTACCGTCTCCCGTCCGTCTACGTCTTCGTCTCCCGTCTGCCTCCGTCTCCGTCTCCGTCTCCGTCTCCGTCTGTCCGTATCCACCTCCGTCTCTCCGTCTCCGTGTGGCTCTCCAATACGGGCGGATCAGGCTCCGACACGGAGCACTCGAGTCCCTACGGAGGGCCCTTATAGCTGACATCAACCGGGCAATAATCCACACAACGCTTTATTAGCATGTCAAATATACGGCCGTCGGCCCGGCCGGCCGGCCGGGCAGCGTGCTGGTACGGCCGGAGAGACGGAATCGCGACATGGCTGAAGTGGAGGCAGGAGAGGACGTGTAAGGGCAGGTCGGGGAAGATTGGATGCATGAAGGAGCGGAAAGGGAAGAGAGGGAGGAGGGACGGAATTTAGATTATCAGGGGAAAATAAAACTAGATGGACAAGTATCTTGATCCCACCGTCGAATAATGGGATTAATTCGTGATCCTGTGTGTAAGATTCCGTATAAATCTTAGAGCAGCGAGAGGTCCATCTGCTATTGTAGCTGGCTCAGGGTACTCACGAATATGATCATGATGAAGCAGGCGGCGAAGAACGAGGTGGACGTGGGCCAGTTGCTGACGAAGCGGTAGTGTTCGCCCGTCACCACGTTCCTGTAACAGGCAGAGATAGGCGTCAATAGCGTTTCGTTGGTCAGTGGGATACAACTCGGCGCCAAGGTGTTCACTTAGCCGACCAAAACCACAGCCCCTGCATAGAGCGGTCCGTCGGCCCTGGCTGACTCCAATATCCCTCTCCCCATCCTGACGAGAAAGTTGGTGGATGAGGTGGAATGGGGGCAGATATCACCTTCAGCAGTGAAACCACACCCCCGGGTGAAAAGAGCGGGCAGCCTGTCGGTCCTAGCCTGACCCCATAACTCCAACTTGACCTCGTCCGTCCTCGGCCGGCGCCGTGGGTCGGATATTAATCAGCTCCACAACTTGGCCCGAAGAACTTCCCAGCTCAATAAAACTAGATTAATAAGTAAGAGTCTTGCACATGCGACAACGTGCCACCAAGTTACCGCGTTTCCAGGAGGGCATTATGCCGAGATCACATACTTGGGCCGACACCTCTCCGCACTTAACGACAGGTCGAGTCGATCAGCGAAGCGCAGGAGGCCATTTTACTGATCTATGGGCTAGACCGCCGTGAAACATGTACGAGGGTTCTGGAAAGGTTCATTATCATTTATAATACACACGAGAAATGTGCAGTGTGATGAATTTAACATTTTAAGACTCTAATAGAAAAATGTCCATCTCATCATATCAGTGAAGAGAATGTTCGATGCTTAAATCACCAGCGGAAAGTTCCGCATAGAGGAAGAGGAATGGCCAGCAGCTGTGATCGCATCACGAGCCATATACCCGAGCGGGGCGGGCCGTAAAAAGCGTGTGGACACGTTACTCGTAAGCGCGTGAATAAATCAAACCCTCCATGAGAATACACACAAATAAAAACACCTCGTAAGTAAAACCCACTATGTAGTACCAATGCCAGTACCCGCCGCACCCCTGTAGTCTACCGCAGGTCGCCGACCCGGGCCGGCGCGGCTCCGTTTCGTCTCCCGCCAGCCGGGCCCGCCCGCCGCCCCGGCCTTATCACAGCAACCAGAACCTCGTAACGCCCAGAGCCTGTTCCATTTCCAAAGGCAACAGGCTCACCAGACAATCAGTGTTTTTAATGTTTTGATGAGTTGCCCCGGGCGCGTCAAGAAAAATAGTCGGCAGAGAAAATTGGGAGACCGAGTGAAAAAACTACACCGGCGGTGCCAGCGAGAGAAGGACGTACCCACAAGAAGAGTATATGATGAAGAAGTAATGCTACCACAGTGACTACCATAGTGCACAATAAAAGGACCTAATGCGTGGATTTAAGCAGAGCAAATGATGTGACTTGGGATCTGAAAGTAACTTCCCGGCAGGAATCCAGTCCTAATCGCCAGTGTCATTTCAACATGTCAAAAGCAGCAAAACGTTACCGAGGGTAGGGACCAAGGAAACTTCGGCACGTCATTTCGAGGATAATTGCATAAATCTGTATTTCTTTAAGAAAACGTATTTTTAGAAACATTTGAGAAGCATAACAAATTGGTCGAAGTCTACATATGCTAGTCTCGATAAGCGAAAAACAACAACAGATTGTTTAAGAAAATAACAGCTAAAAAGATCGGGACAATTTGAGTGGACACCAGTAGCAACCGAAAAAAGCGATAATGAAATAATTATTTTCCAGCTAACCCACGAAGGTTGCGCTACATTACAGTTTACAGCTGGCCCACCTACCTCTCTGTCCATGGGCAAGGACTTGCCCACTCGACCCTCTAGCCGGGCAGCACAGTTGGGCCAAAAGTTGGGGTGTCGTCACTAAGATCCGAGGTGCCACGCCTTCCCCACCCCCTCCCCCTCTAGGGACGTCCACCCCCTCCTGACCGGTCGGCCGGGACAGCACCCGACAAACTTGGTCCACCAGTTCGGATTCATGGTTGGGTAAATTTGGCGAGTTGGGCGCCGCACTAGTTTCACACAAATTTGACGACGATGGTTTAAAGATGAGCGATCAAGATAGGAACATTGCTCGAGTTCACTAGCGAACTTTGCTCGGGGTCCACGGCGTCTGTTGTAGGCGTTGAGGATGAGAAACTTTCGACCTCCCGATTGGGGCAGGGCTTAAAGCGTACGCTGATTTTGATTACAAACATATGCGGGGCTAATCAGTGAATGTCGGCAACTCACTACGCTCAGTACTAAACAAACACAGCTTTACGCAAATAACAACGCGAAAATGAGTTCGCTTACAAATGAATTCGGAATAACAAATGCAAACAAGCAGGCATAAGCCAATCGTGTTGCTCATAGAATGCACTTCCGGTAATGTCTGAAATAGCCACTCTTATAAAATACCCTCTGGCATTTCATTAACAGATGCAAAATCGTATGACTAATTCTTCTGAGGCAGTCTGACCATCTGTTCTCCCTCCCCCTCCCCCCCCCCCATGAAGTCGCTCGCTGCCCGCTGGTGTGGATGTCTCCGAGTCCGGTCCCTAGCCAGGGTTGTCCCCGCTCCACCTGATGCAACACCCGTCCCCTACGTATGTATACTCGAGATAGGCCTAGCCCCCTCTGGCCCCATTCGTACAACCCAATTATCCTGCATGGCCTGTAATAGCTTCTCCCCATCTGTACCTGCGGTTAGCACTGCAGAGCCAACAACTCCTCGGTGACCAAACAAAAATTTGCTACGGCTTAAAAGGTCCACTTTCGACTCAGACTCACGCTCTAACTCTGACTACGGGTATCGCTCTTGATTCCAGTTCGTATCACCGTAATATGGTTCATAACTGAGATGCCTTTAATCTTACCAGAGCAATCCCTCTCGCATTCCAAATACTTACATATTACATAACATACACTAGAAAGTAGAAACAATTAACAGCACAGAGATGAGGTTCAGGCACAGCTTAGTTTTCCACATTTTACACTCAAAGGGCTCGTCCAAAACAGCAGCATGGCTTTATATTCGAAAAGATCACGCTTGGAGCAGTCAACAGCGAAATATACAATACATTTTTAAAGGATTAGATCGTGACTAGAAACCATGCAATGTCGGCCCCCACTCCGTAGCTGGGGTCCATAAGATTTTTGCCACTCCGACTCGAGCCAGAACTCCGATCGACTGATCGTCTGATCGACTCCGACTCCGAAGCCCTGTCTGGGGTAGCTCATCAGAGGTCTCCATTCGTACATATAAAAGGTAGCCCTTATCCTACCTGACTGTGACTAAAACGGCCCCTGTCGCTGCGTCCTCACCTGAGGTAGCCGCGGAATGACCGCCGCCGCTGCGCCCTCACCTGAGGTAGCCGCGGAATGACCGCCGCCGCTGCGTCCTCACCTGAGGTAGCCGCGGAATGACCGCCGCCGCTGCGTCCTCACCTGAGGTAGCCGCGGAATGATCGCCGCCGCTGCGTCCTCACCTGAGGTAGCCGCGGAATGACCGCCGCCGCTGCGTCCTCACCTGAGGTAGCCGCGGTTATCCTCGGCTTCAGCAAGCTCCTTGATGCTACTCAGCAGGATATCGTCGTACCCAATCAGCCATGCCAGGATCAGCCGGCTGAGGTGGTCGCCGAAACACACGTCTGAGTCGGGATCGAGCAACACGATCTGGGTGGGTACCGAGAGACGCCGGCGGGTGGCAGGGGAGAGCCGCAGGAGCCCGTACTCGAGCGAGTACTCCACGATGTACTCCTCGTCCGGCCACACTGGGGACAGAGGGGACACTGCGTCAGTGACGAGGATGGACAGCTGAAGGGATCACATCAGTTGATCCTGTAAATATTGGCGAAGGGTCGTTGACTTTCTACTTAGCATTATCCTTTTAAAATGTGTTCATTCTATTCGCAACTGAACTACCTGAGCGAGCGTTATTTTCGGACTTCATGTAGCGCGTTTATGTACTGACATTGTTTTCGTGCAGCCGTTCACAATCTAGTTACTTACTGCCAAATGCAACAGCGATTCTGAATAGCCAGGCATGAATGTTTACCCAGTATACGCTACAATAATCATTCAGCGTCTATAATTGGTCAATACCATGCATGAAATATGCAAGGTAAGGGATATGGTAAACTAGGCAATCACTATATTCAATAATCAGTCAGCACGAACCTTGGCAATAACAAGTGGTTGGCAAACGCTAATAATACGAATCGCCAGACATAAAGCTGGTCACATGAAAATGTTTCAAACCACAAGCATGTATAACAAAATTAATAGACAGGTGCCGTTCAGTAACAATAAACGGTAATCTCACCAAACGGATGAGCCTACAGAGCTTACAAAGATGTATTTGTGGAAATGTGCATTCAGATAGCGTAACGCCTCCTGATGATCGCAGAGTACAAGTGACAACGGCGGTTACGCGAAAACGCTCCTCAGTAGACAGGCTCTCGCTCTTCCCTTATGTCATCAAGCTGCCCTCAACTGAGAAACAATCATGCGGGAAAAACAGGAAATTATTTTCCTTGCAGCGATCAAGCACCGCTGTGACTACGAGCGTCATATGTACCCATCAACAGCATATTAAAATCAATACAGACCGCGACTGTCAATGCCTCATTTGTTAGATATTTTTGGTGCAGCATGCAATATATTACCATCTGACATCATAATTGCACAGCCACAGCTGATCTATAACGTCACCATTGGGATGTGCAATTAGGCAGTCACATCAAAGTAATATTCGGCTTCAATGGCCGCAGACTATTGCCGCTATTGGACGTCTTGTCAGTGTCTAACGAATTGTGTCATCCAAGAGCGAGTGTAGCGCGGTCAGTGTGTCAGATCGGCCATTCGAGCGTCAAATATCCGCCAATGTCCATTATTGGCCGTACGGTAATCATAGCAGATTGTCCGACCACGTTTCAGAGGCTCGTCCAAAGCCGTCCATTCCGGGAGACGGGGTGCCGATTATAGACGCACCGCCGCCGTCTGTGTGGGCCGCGCGGACGGCCGCCACCGCTGCCGCTCTCCGCCACCCTCGGTGACTCGCCGGGTCATCTGCGTATGACGGCTGACAGCGCCGCTGCTGCAGCGACTCGCACCAAATTTAATAACCCGCACTAGCGGAGTGAGTTGCCGGGCGGCATCCATGCGGGCGGCGGCGGGCGCCAACCCCGCGCCGGCCGGGCGCCACCAATGAATACCTAAAGCGGTCTGCACCTGACCCGCCGACTGCCGGGCGAACCCCCCCTCTCCCCCCCAAACCCCACCCTCGGAGCGACGTGGGACCAAACCCGATTACTATGGAAATATAGGCCGCGACGAAATGAAACTGTGACTAATGCGCGCCGATGAAATCGAACTGCAGACATCATGTTTGGCTAATCAAACACCGTATGGAAATTGTCGTCTCGGCGCGCCAAAACCGGCGACGGCGCGCCGGCGGAAAATGGCGCGCCAGATCTGGCGCGCCTTATTGGATTACGCGGGAGAGGTGCGCGCGCGACGGGCGCGTGCCGAGCGCACCGGTCGGCGACTTAGACGGCGCGCTCGCCAGCGATCCGGCCGAGCTCACTTCATAAACAGCCGGATCGCAGCGAGCTCCGCGGGTTTTTATCGTCATATCTCAGAGATCTGAGCGTAAGATGGAGCTGAGAGGGTTCCGAGCGAGCATTGAGAAGCACAGACCGGCACGTCCGGCCAGCGCCGCCGCCGGCAGTCATATGGCGATTTATTCATCAGTCGAACATCCTTTTGGCTACTCAATGACCGGCGCTTATTGCTAGGTCGGTTTGCTAAAAGTGGCAGCAGCCCAGCAACTCTGCAATCCCCCGTTTCCGGCACAGTGGGCTGTTGACAACCACAGCCATTTGCTAATGTCCCGCTGCGGGCCCGGCCACCGCCCTGGGCCGGATCGGTCGCCAAAGCAGCTTACCTGGCCAGCACGGTCTCCCGAGCTGAACGGAGTATAACACTGTCCCCGGGTCGGGTGGCGTCCGGCGGAGCGCCATAGGAGATACAGTCAAAATCAGATCGGCCGGAAGGGTCGGAGCGGATCTCAGACAGATCGGAGCCGGCGTCATGATAACTCATAATAACTAGTTATACACTCATAATAACTAGTTGTCATATCAGCGACAATCAGATTGGAAACAGAAGGGTCGAAAAGGAGCCCGGCCAGATCAGAGCCCTGTTCGGTTGCTGTTTTTATCAGCATGGTGTCGGTTTTTCTCATATAAGGAAGTTCTTGTTGGCGCTTTTTGGCCTCTCATTGGTCAAATGAAGAGACCACGTGAATTTGACCAATGAAGAGCCAAGAAATAGAAGCATGCTCGCAGCCTGCTGGTAAAAAACTGTGACCGAACAGGGCCCAGGGCCGATTTCACACTAATAACAACCAGATGTCATATCGGAGAGAGATATCATATCGGAGAGAGAGTAGTGTAAAACCAGGGCTGCGGAGTCGATGGATTTTCGGTGACTGCGACTCCGACCCCGGCTTTCGAAAACCAACTCCGACTCCGACTCCGGGCAGAACTATCGACTCCGACCGACTCCAACTCCGACTTCGATTCCGCAGACTTGACATGGCTGCGGAGTCCATGGATTTTCGGTGACTCTGACTCCGACTCTGGCTCCGATCTCCGCAACCGACTCCACCTCCGACTACGACTCCGACTCCGCAGCCCTGGGTAGAACGATGGAGCAGAATCGGACGTTTGAAGCGTCAGCGGGCACCGCGGATGTCGCGCTACTGGCTGACGCTAAAGAACATAGCGCATTGTGCATTACAGGAGATACCGGAGGTCAGACGGACGCTTGACAATAAATGCTCATTTACCCTAAGCGTTTGGTCTGACTGGAAGGACGACGTTAGACAAAAGCAGTGAGTGGACGTTGACCAGTGGTTAGAAACTCGGTTTTGACCTCCAAGTTAGCTGTGTTCCGTTTGTCCAAGCAACTGACAGCAATCGAGCAAGGATGGTAACTGGATTATGCAAGCCGTATCTTGCCGGCGCCTTTGGTGTTTTGTACCCGAAAAAAAAACATTGTTTATGAAACAGCCTTTTAACTTATAATTGCGCTGAAGTTTGAGAGCAAAGCAAGAGAAGGCAAGACAGTGTAGCGCAAAAGAAAGAACTTTTAAAATTGAGTTTGAGTGGGCGAGTGGAAAACAAGAAGTCAGTTGAATGCTAGAATCTCGGAACGATCGAGCTTGTTTGGAATTGGTACCGAAGCGGCACGGCATAAATGCAAGCAAGCGGAGTGAATTCGGAATTCGGTGGGGACTGGGGGATGGGGAAACATTCATCGGCGGAAAAGGCTAATAGGCAAATCATCTTAGTGATGGTAGATGGAAGCTATCTTTAACAAAGTAAATCGTTTATTTTTACATCTGACACCAGATAAAATTAAACAAGAAAAGATCTTTATTCTTTGCATCTCGCGTAAAAATTACATCACCACTGTTCAATCAAAAACTCACAACAGTTAAACACATGAAAATGCATGAATAAATAAGGGGAGAAGTGCAGAAGCACCAGGCGAGGATCATAACACAAGAAAAGAGAGGGTGTAACAGTCGGAAGTTACCAAAGGAAAACTAAATTTTCGATAGCTCTTGAGAAAACACCAACTAAGACCTGACCCGCTGGCGTTGATATCAACCTCCTTGTCGACGCAGTTCCCCGGATCTAGCGTCAACCAGACCAGAGTGACCCTAGTCCGACCTGATCGCCCGGTACCCGACCTGTTCTACCCTCCAGGCCTCCACTGCCTGACTGAAGGGACCAGCCCCAACTACCCGTCCCCACCCAACCCACCCTATCCTCAATCCGACCTAACTACCCCGTCCTGCCTTTCCCTGCCCTTCCCCGACCTAGTGACTCCAGCCCCAACAAACCTCCCTCACCAAACCAGCCACGTGCCGCACCCAATCTGGCCTTTCCCTGTTCCGACCCCGTGACTGACCGGTCCTGATGAGCCGCTCCAGGCCGGTGACGTCCTGGTCCAGGCCGCCGCTCTCAGAGTTCGATGACCCCTCGGTGACCGGCGGCGGCGCACTATCGGTGCTGTTGGTCTCGGCCGGGTCATCGGGGCCGTTCCCTGACGTCTGTGTGGGTGGAGGAAGGGTTAGGTCAGTCAGAGGAGCGGTATGTTGTACTGAGAGATAGACGGCGGTGTATTAGGGCGGGCGCGGAAGGGATATAAGTCCTCCGGCCCGCGACCAACAGCTATACTAAGGTGTAGAGGGGTGTGCACAAGGTAAGAGCTGAGAAGGTTAATAAGTCAATGTTGTGTAAATATGTTGTACTGAGAGATAGACGGCGGTGTATTAGGGCGGGCGCGGAAGGGATATAAGTCCTCCGGCCCGCGACCAACAGCTATACTAAGGTGTAGAGGGGTGTGCACAAGGTAAGAGCTGAGAAAGTTAATAAGTCAAATCAGAGGTGCCAGTGCCAGTTTGGTGTCAATGTGGTATTCACATTGTCAGTAATGATCACGAGTCAGTATGGTCCTTATATCAGTGTCTATGCCAGCACAAGTCTCGCATCATGGCGCGCGCGTTAGCGTCAGCGTCCCAGTGCCTGTCCCAGCTGGAGGCAGTCGTCCCGCCCCGCCCCGTCTCCCACCCCGACATGTTATTAGCCAGAGTTTCTCTGGTTTCAAGCCCGTCGGGCCCCGAGGCGGGATCAAAGTCTGGCTGCAGAGGTGCGCCGCAATCCGCGTATGTGAGCGCAGTCATGTGTCAAAGGCTGGGTGGTGCGTCAAAGGATAGGCATAGTCGGTCGCTGGGTCACCCGATGATGAGAGTCGTCTGACTGCCTCTGCCCTAACAATGTGTTTCTGTTATTGTGCAGGCTGTAGGGTGATACAGATGCCCACAACAAATACGGTGGATTTACACAAAAACAGATAACCACGCTATCACAAGAGACCGAGGAGCGTACCGAGGAGCGAACTATAGTCTATAGTTGCCTGCCATTGGATAGGCATTGGGTAAAATACGCGCTTGAATACACCATTGAACAACTCAACCTGAGCTGTATTTCGCCGAATACCACCATTCCGAACGCTTAAACCAGACCTTCATATCTTATCAAGCATTTCAAAGAGCAGTGGGCGCATTCGCAAAGAGACCTAACTGGCGCGGTACACGTGAAGGAAACCAACCCCAGCGCTGCCGTTCCGGGACAGCCGCGGGAGCCTTCCCTCTACAGCCCCGCCATCCGCGGCGGGCGCGACCGGTGACATCCGGACGAAAAGGTCTCCTTCGGGGAGACGAGTCCGCCCGGCCGGCGGCGGCTGCCGACTTCAAACCGTCGGCCGCACACATATTATTTCGGCCGGTGATGGCCTGTTAGGCTAATATGGAGATCAAAGGAGGCACCCGACAGACAGGCGCCCACACAGCCGGCGGCGGCGGCGGCGGTGACGGGAACAGAGTCGTTATTTCAGTCAGGGTGAAAAAATGAGTCACCCAGAGTCAGAGTCAGAGTCAGTAACAACCTGTCAGTCAGAGTCGGAAATCAGGTAATGTCAGTAAGAGTCCAGTCAGTCTGTCGCAGTCAGTCACAATTATTCAGTCCGTCATTCATTCAAAGGCATTCAGAAAGTCAGTCTGAATGCCGAAAGTCTGAATGTCTGAAAGTAACTGCCATTCCGTCAGAGTATAAACTAAACCATTCGGAATCAATTTCAGCTAGTCCATCTTTCGGAATCTACAAGAGTCAATCAAAGAGTTAGGTGCTGCTTTCAGTTGCTTTGACGGTGCGCTCCTTTCCCTTCTCCGTTCACTCCGAACGTGTAGGACCACTGAAGCAATCATGAGACTGAGCCGAATGGGAGCCAGCAGAGATCGATCAGGTGTTGGGGAATGGGGGACCGGTAGTGTGGAATGGATAGGGCTGATCTTGCTCGATGGCGCATGACGCCACAGTTAAGCCCCGCAAGCCACTTAACTACATCACACAGTCTCGTCCAAGCAAAAAAGTATGAGAGCAACCCGGTCAAACTGGGAGCGGATATGTAAATATGTAGACACGTGACATCCTACTGTGAGGCTGTGAGGTGTGGTCCGGGTCTAGTCACCCGGCGGCGGTGGCAGCGCAGACGCCGGTCTTAGCCTGGTACATACATGTTGAGGATCCCGTCGAATGCACTGATTCTCTCACCTGCTGACTATCGGCTGGGGCGGCCTCCTCTGTCCCTCCCGGCTCCGGAGAGTCACTCGGAGTCGGCGACAGCGGGCTAGACGTACTCCGGGCCGACCCTGGAACACAAGTACCGTCATAAGAATATGGAGAAAAGAAGGTCTCACAGAGAGGCATCGCCTGCAACCATACAACACACCAGTGATATTTCAAGAGTGAAAAAGGGAGCATTTTCTAAAACAAAATCGCCGGTAATTCGATCACGCGTCCACACCACGATATATAGCAGTAGCCTCCGAGGAGCTGGGAGGCCATACCAAAAGCTATGCATTTTCCTTGAAAGTTCCCTCAACTCAGGGCACGGCACTCGGCAGGCAATTCTAGCTGAGCACATTGCAAGCACTGCTCAGAAAACATCTCAGCCGTGTTAGTTATCCCAGCTGAGAACCCTCCCAGCACATGAGAATAATCTCACCACTACGCTTAGCTCTGTGCCAGGCAGTCCCACTACTACGCTTAGATCTTTGCTGAGAGGCCGATAGGCGATAAGCGATGGGCATTAGGTAATCCTCAATGGCAAGATCCCTCTCAGCAACCTCCCAGGCGCCGGCTCACCAGCTGAGACGTTGGAGTAGATATTGGCCGGGTCGGTGGGAACAGTCACGTCCTCTATCAAAGTTTCAGTTCCGGAAACTTCCGTCAGAGGCTGCTGCGTGGCCGGCTCGGAACCCGCCTCCTCGGATTTCTGCTTCTCACGATTCCTGTCAAGTTAAAAAATCGACGTTACCTCATGGCTGTTACCTCATGTCATACATGTTACCTCATGTCATACAACGCTTCTACACCGAAAGCAATGTGTGTCAGATTCACAAACAAAAAGAGCTCGTCTTATCTGGATCCCTAATGCCCTCTGTGTTCAGCAGGGGTCTATAGTACCGCACCCTCAGTTTCCACTCCGCGCGACTAGCCACGGTGAGTGCCGTCTCATCTCCGTTACCTCCGGTCGCCGTCCAGCAGTTCCTCCAGCGTGCTCAGTAGCAGGCTGTCCGGGTCGCGCAGCTTCAGACGCTCCTCCTTCTCGTACGACTTGGCCAGTGTGTACTCCTCGCCTGCGGGTCATACAGAGATGAGTTGGAGGGGGGTTACTAAGGACCCGACAAGACTGCCGGTCATACAGGGGGAGGGGGTAAGGAAGGGAGCTTACACTGGGTGACACAGAGACTAGGAAAGAGGGGGGGGGGCAGACCGAGAGACGTTCCACTATGTCAGAAGAACGCACAAAGCCAGTTTAGCCTAATGTCACATGTCTGAGAAAGATCGGCACCTCGGTGGTTACATCAGAACAATGTAGGCCGTACAAGGCAAACATCAAGTCAAGTCGGATCACAGCAGCATTGCTCAGATTACTGGATTTGGATCAGGTCATGCTATACAGACAAGGGCAGACGCAGCAGCCCATGAAGATCTGTGTCTGTGTGGCATGGTCCCTCGATATCATATGACTGGGTTTGTATGAATGTAACCAGCGTGACCTATCCACTTACCGGGGTCTCGGATGATCTCGACGCGCAGTATTCCGTCTCGCGGCCAGTCGTCTTTGACGCTGTCCAGGCAGTGGTTGGGCATATGTGAGAACGCCACGTGAATGTATGTCAGCATCGCCAGAGAGCAGATCGCCTGGGAACATGAGTTAAACATCAGCGTAAGACGGTAAGACAATCAGCACACAACTGAGTGGGAATGTTAGTGTACAAAGGTGGAAACAATATCCCAAAATGCTCAATTAGCGTCCATCGGACGGAGATAACTACACGTATATTTGGAGAAATGTCAAATGACGGCAAACAGTAACTTGAGACCGAGACTCACCCAGAATTATGGCAACTTAGATATGGAATGGGCACGCTCAGAGCTACAATCACTTTGATACGGACGGGACCATTTGGAGCTGAGGTAAGTTTTATAAGGACGGGGTACAATTGGAACTGCGATAGGTTCAGTACAACTACCGACGGGACCGAGGCCCACCCAACTCTGTCAGGACAGAATCGGCACGTACCACAAGCAGGGAGGCGAACTCGACCATGCGCCGGACGCGCGGCGAGAACAGGCGCGCATACGCCAGCGAGAGTCGCACGAACATGGCGTGGAACAGCCGGTCGCGGATCGCCACAAACTGTTCTTCAGCGGCGTTTTGAGCGCCGGCCGGCCTCGGCGGCGGCTGCGGCGGCGGCGGCGGCGGCGCCTGCGGTGGCGGGGGCTGGCCGGCCGGCGGCGCGTCGGCTCGGGCGCCGGCCTGATGTCGCCGCCGCAGCGCCGGAAACAAGTTCTCCAGCAGGGCGTCCATCCTGTGTGCTAACAGATGGGCCGACAGCGGACAGCCCGACAGCCGAAGACACTCAGTCGCTGACTTGTCTCGGTGCTTTTGTTCTGGGGAAAAGAGAGTAGGTACGTGAATGCTAACATAACCAAAAGATTTAGATATTTGAAACATTTTTGTTCCATGATTTAGGCCACATTTCTATGCAGCATTCACGTCTCAATGATTTGCTTGCCTGACTTCCCTGGTTAATATTTGCATTTCACTACCACTAATATACTATTGGATGCATGTTATTCCTATACCCTGTCCTGTCCTTACCTTACCATATCTTTGTGGTATTCAGAAATGACGCCTTGGAAATGACTAATGAGGATACAGCAGGATCCCTGGCCACGTTTTGTATGTTTTGGGATTAATTGCAAAATGCAGTTGTAACTTCCCATAGGTAGCCCTCTTGTAGCTCATTTGGTAGAGCACCGGACTTACGGTGGCAACAGCCTGGGTTCGAGTTGCTCAGGTACTCAATATTTGAGACTCCTGACTGGGATGGTCTGCGATTGATGGGAGCGGTCGCAGTCAGTTAAAGTCAATTGAGTGAGAACTGAGACAGACCATAGGGCTGTCCACGGGCCCTGTGTGCGGTCGGACCGCACACAGCCTGGACCGCACACAGCCTCGAAGCTCCGCCCACTTCTTCCCTACGTCAGCCTTCCGTCACCGCACACAGCGATCGCTGTGGCCGGTCGGGACTGGCCACAGCGGACCGTCCACCGCACGCAGCTGTGACGTCAGAACCGCCTACCCATCCCCTACCCCCACGCCTGCTGGACGCACCGCACACACCGCACGCAGCAGTGTGCGGTGCCCGTGAACACCCCTCATGTCTGGGCTCTGGCTTTGATGGGCATGTTAAGGTTTGACATATACATTTTCCCATTACCTCCATCGGTGATCAGACGGTAGGGGTCAGGGTCTACGCAACCTTTTAAATCTCACCATTTATCGGCTAAGTCAAAGTGCAGACAGATCTATAAAACTATCATAGTAGCCCCGGGTAATGTTATTTCATTTCAAACCCCAGATAAAAAGTGGTATAATTGCTTTACCCAGGCATCAAAGTAGGGGAGAGTGGGGAAAGATGCCCAGGGTTTGACTATGTCATATATTATTCGAAAATGACGATCGGAAAGCCAAAACTTGAAGTTTCAACGGAAGCCGACATCATTTTTCTCCAAAAATATCACACTTCGGTGCCTGAAATATGATAACTTTTTTGCTATTAAGCATTTTCCTGAAGAAGTGAAAGGGGGCATCTTACCCCACAGGGTGGAAAAGACGCCCCCTGGCGTTGGGTAAGATGCCCCCTGCACTATAAGTGACATAAATAGGCACGTGAATCGCCTGAACTAATCAGTAGTCCCTTCGAGCCTGCAGTAGACACCAAACGTCATCGTAAGGGCCCTCAAAAGTAGTCGTAAGGGGCTTCAGAGGTCATCGTTAGGGCCATCATAGTCCAGCGTGGCCAAACAAGCCTCCGTGGTGGACTTCGGAGACCACTGTGGGGCCCTTATAGGTCTTCATGATGCTTGAGGGCCCTCGAGCCCATCGTGGGGACCTCAGATGCCAGCGCGGCCCGTGGAGCCAACGTGGGAGCCCTCAAAAGATGTTGTGAGGGGCCCTGGAGCCAATAATGGGGCCCACAGAGGCCGTCGTGAGGGCTCTCAGAGTCAGCTGCCGCCCAAAAAGTCGCTGTGTGGGCCGAGAGACCGGCATGGGGAGCACCCGACCGTACCGGACTCTCAATAGTCCCAGATCGGCTTTTGTCTCTCATCACAAGTATGTAATAAATGATTTGACGGGCTGCTTGAAGGACAGCCTACGGATTTAGGGGGGCGTCTTTCCCCATCAGGACAGGGGGCATCTTACCCCAAGGTACCGAAGTAACATTAAATCAGCACAATTTGTTAGCCATAAAACTACACCCTGAAACAAACTCTTTGGGACACAGTACACGCATGTAAATGTATCACGACTATAGCAAGGGACGCACAAATTATCTACCTTCTTTGATATTTACAATGTTCTGACGCCAAAATATTTTTTGAAAGCAGCAAATAAAAAACATGCAATCACCAGTTAGCCGTTGCCCAACTGAGCTTCGCAAATTTTTGTGCAGTTAACAAGGCAGGCTTCCGCTTTACGCTAAGAACATTAATTTCCAGGTTCGATTCTTTGTCTCCCCGCTAGAGGGGGTGGGGCGTCTTTCCCACCCTGGGCATCTTACCCCACTCTCCCCTACCCCTGAATGGTGTATCTGCAGTACCAAACTTATATCACAAGGAATGGCAATATATTCTCAATTGTTGTTGGGACTGTTTTGAAAGACATGGTTAAAAACATATTATCAATCCAGGGGTGGCCTTATATATTCCAACAGAGACAAGAAGGGGTCAAATCCAAATGTTCACGCATATCAAAAAATCACAAAAAGGGATGTGAACTTCAATTGCCAATCAATTTATCAGGCGACATTTTAGATACAAACCGCCTGCGAATGACTTTTTAGTGGAATCGAAGTCACAAACGCCTGCCTACCTTTCCCTATCAATAACAAATAACAATTTTATTATGCAAAATTCAACATTCAACATGCTCACTGTTGCGCCAGATATGTCTCAAACTTTCAAGCATATCTATTTGCATTCTTGATTATCGATTGAGAAATAAGACTGACGTCATCCAAAAAAGCGTTGGGAGCGTTGGAGTGATCTATGCAGAAATAATTGTGATGTTTATGCAATGTTTTTTAATATTGCCGCTAAATCGACACAGTCATAATTTATTCGATTACTTCAAAAGCATATCTGAAACCAAATAATTGCCCCTCAAACCAACCTCAAACCAGCATAGTTATGCATAGCCTTATGACGTCATTTTACTAAAATCCTGAAAAATGAAACCGCTGAACTGCTCATGCTTGTTTTTGTTTTGTGGAATGATCGGACCGCGTGGATCGCATTTCAATTTCGCATGATGATCGAGGCGTGTTGCCGCGGTGAGTTGTTTTCGATTTCGTTTTGCGAGGCGTGGAAGGGGGAGTCGATCAGTTTTTAAACATTTTCCATTTATTTAGGTGGAGGGGGAGTCGATAAGTTATACTTACTTAAAATGATTATGCATAAAAGTGGGGAATTTTGAAAGGCCACTTGACTTAGCCTCAAGGCTCAAGGACCCAGTCCTATTGCTATCTAGCTCCTTGTGGTGTCCCAGACTTAGTCATCAGGGTGAGTAGTTGTACTGTGTGCCCATTGTCTCAGGTGTTTCCAGTCTGAGTCTGGCAGGAGGGCTGTTCACGGGTTCTGTGTGGGGTCGGACCATACACAGGCTGTAAGCTCTGCCCACTGCGTCCCTACGTCAGCCTCCCGTCGCACAGTCGGGACCGGCCACAGGGGACTGGCCACCGAATGCAGCCGTGACGTCAGACCCGCCTACCCATCCCCTATGGCCTACTCCCAAGCTTACTGCACACACCACACTCAGCAGTTTACGGTGCCCCGGGAACACCCCTATGGTCTGGCTTTGACCTTTGATGGCATTTAGGCTGGAAGTGTCAACAACTGACAGCGGGAGTGTGTTCTAATTTTTGGTAATGCAGACATAGAAGACATTTTGGTGCACTTGGGATCCTTAAAGCACAGCCAGCACACCCAAGTGGGTCCCATATGGATCTGATATCAATATGGGCAGTCCATGTGGGTCCCAGTGGGCTTTGTCACACAGCTCCAACTGGGTCCCATGTGGGGACAGCCCAGATAGATGGGGCCTATGTGGGGCCTACAACTAACAAGTCACAAAAGTCCCAGTCAACAGGCATTTGGGTGGCTTGGCAGTTGGCTGTCATGGTATTTGGTAAGAAAACCCTTATTCAAATGATAAGTGGTTTTGGATTACTTAAACATGACAAACAGTATTTAGTATTTAGATACCTAGTTATATATACCTACAGGGTGGAAAGTAATTACGCGAACATGTATTTTCTTACAATTTCGCCCGTCAGTGGAGATTTTGTATGAGCGCGGGCTGTTATCAGTAGGTGGAACTATGGTCATGAGTACCCAAATATAGGAACGTTCCCATTTTTAGGAACGGAGTTCCCAAATATGGGAACGGGCATTCCCATTTATGAGAACGGAAGGTAATTTTTCGGCCGTTCGCCCACTAAAACTCATTAGTGCATCACGTCTCAAAAAAGTGCACGCTAATTTAGGTATCTACTAAGTCTCTATAAAATTATCTTTAATCTGACCGTTGAACAAGGAAATTGACCGTCGAATGATATTTTTAATGATTTTTTGAAATGACGGAATGGTGAAAACATGGGTTACACTACATTTAACATGCAATTTTAAGGAAAATGAAGCGTTTTTTATATTTTGAGGTCAAGTATAATAATTTTCGCCTGGTTATGAAGTTTCATACTAGCGACACCAGATGCTGACATATGCAAGCGAACACGCGGACAGTCCCGAGGTAATATTGTTGACATTTGGTGTCGAGGCGGACGACCGCGTAGAACGTGCGTGATTTTACCGAACTACTGTTGTAAACTCAGTTTAAGTGGTCGAAAATTATTCAGCTGTATTTTATCAGCCCGGAAAGACATATTTTATTTGGATGCTAGCTGTTTAGCATTGTTTTATAAGGAGCGTCATGAGCGTGGTTTTTGTCTTCCGTGTTTCTAGCATGATCGTTTGGGGGGAATTTCTCTTATATAGGTCGCTCTGTGTGGCTTATTTATAATTTCTATGCTGATTTCGATCATTCCTCGTGCCCATCCTACCAGGCCTTTTGCCACTTACACTCATTAAGAAAGGAAAAAACTAGATTTTCATTGGGACTAGGTGTTTTGAGGGTGTAACATATTCAGCGTTCCCATTTTTGGATACTTTCTTGTACTCGTCAACTATCGGTGATAAACAGACGGGTGCTTGACATGTCTCCACCCTCGGCACGGACGCTGGATATAGGTATGGAAGACCTTGTTGAACATCGCTGAGCGTTGTGAATTACGTAATCCTGCAGAGGGGGGCGTGCCCGCTGCGAGATCGACGGGAATAAAAGCGCAGAAGACCGGGCGAAACATGCGACGGTCTTGCCGGAAAGGTCATCTGATGATTGTTGCGTTAACAATAATTTGCGGCGTTGGACGTGATGCTTGTTAATGAAAAAGCCCCTGAAAGGCGTCGGTGAAATCGTTCCCAATTATGGGTACGCCGTTCCCATTATAAGGAACGCTTGCAGCGCCAGTGTACGAGAGCGTTCCCAAATTTGGGCTCGCGGCCCGAATGATGGACTGCTTTAGAAATAGGGGAACGATTTGAAACTACGATGGGCCTTACAATATCAAACTCTTTCCCAACAATATTGCGACAAATATCAGGCGGTTCACGATCGTTTTCTATTTTTTGGACGTCATTTATCGGTTCTTTTTCTTGTTTTAAATAATGCCTACATGGCGTTCCCATATTTGGGTTTATCGTTCCCAAACATGGGAACGAAATTTACGAAAATGCGTTCCCGAAAATGGGTACGCTTGACCATAGTTCCGCCTACTGTTATGGAACATGAATGGTCGTGTTTGTTGTCGCCTCATCTAACAAAAGTGACCTTACTTTGAAAAATGACTTGGAAGGTCTACAACACCTCTTGGCTTCGAGTGCTGCTGACGCCATACGCTGCTCAAGACCAAAATGGGCAAAGAGCTCAATTTGAAGTTGCCAGGGAAAGCGTTTGTGATTATTTTGGCTGGATTGGTGCGGAAGGGACTCGGAACGGTCTCGGCACCAGCATTACTCAATTACACGTTTGGTTGAAGCATAATGAAACTTAAGAGGACTTAAAAAGCAAAGCCGTTGGCGGCAGTAAAACCTCGGCGAATTCAGGCGCCGAATGGGTGGTCACCATTTCCGCGACCAAACGACAACAGTCGACTCGAAAGCAGGCGAAATGGTTTACTTTGGCCGGGTACCCGATCTAAGATATCACGACTCATGCATAAATCCGTGAAAATTCGAAAATCAAGCCGTACAAACAATCGAGATGGCCAAAATTCATGAATTAACAGCAGGATTGTCAATTTAAGTTTTCTAAAGACGGCCAAACCTGAACAGAGGAGGACAGGCAGCTGGCTTTGTGGTTGGGTGAGACATCTTCGAAGCTATTTCATCCGTCAAACCTGCAGAACAACGCGTTGGGGGCTGCTGATGCGTCCGACGTCCCGCCCTTCCCAACCTTCAAACATCCGGCAAAGGAACACACATCAGCGTGTTATGAGCGCCCGGATGGTGTCAGAATTGCATGTAGTGACCAACAAGGCCACCAAAAATATACAACTAGTGGAACAAGTAAGTATACAACTAGTGGAACATCCTTCCAGACGAGTCTCTTTATCTAATCCATCAATGCGCCAAAAGGGGCAAAATGATTGAGCGCACTTTTGTGCCCGACGCAAAGAAACTCTTCTTCATGATTGATAAAGTCCTTCCTCTCACGGCCAAAAAGACGCAAGACTGGTGCTTTGAGAACCCGTTCTTCTTCTGGGCATATAAATGGTCAATCTGGGAATAGCCCAGACCTCAATTTGATCAAAAATATCCAGGCGACTCTTCAGGAGAGCGTCTAAGAGCTGCTAGTAGCCACCAACATCGATTGCCTCACCAGACAGCTCCAGGAGGCGTGGACTAAGCTTCGGCCAACAGTGCTTGACATGCTCATGTCAATTATGCCTGAACGCCTTTGTCAGTGTATCGCACATAAATAGGAATATATGAAAAGATGAAATTTTCAGGTCACCGCCGCTTTTTCCATTGCTATAAGACGAAAAAGTATGTTCGCGTAATTACTTTCCACCCTGTAAGGTAAGGTAAGGTAAGGTAGTCCTTGAACCCTCGCCCACACATGGGGGGAGTATTTAAACCTTGCCCACACATGGGGGGGGGGGGAGTGGTTGCCACCCCCCAGGTAGTCTTGGAAGGTCAATGACTGACCTGAGAAGGTAAAACTGGGTATCATTGGATTCGTCTCTTCCCAAAGAATCTTTTTGGTCTTTACCGCGAAGCTCTATCTCCAACAGGAACGAAATGGCGCGGGGGTGGCAACCCCCCCCCCATGTGCGTTCTAGGATGGGAAAATGGCATGTGCGGGCGAGGTTTAAGTGCCCAGTCAAGTGCCCGCGCCGGGCCGGTGCTCTGAGATTCCGCGCCGGGCCGGGGGGGGGGGTTGTCTGAACACCCCCCCCCCCTTCTAACTCGGCTCCTGGGCCACGTAGCGACACGCGGTAGGCGGCAATCGAAAGAACGTCCAAAATAAGGACGAAAACAATTCGGTCATTTTTGGGTCAGGTCAAAGGTCGGGTCACCAGAGGTCACCAAAGGGAAAATGTTGACTATTTCATCATTTTGGAAACTTCCAACGGCTATCTCGGGAACCGATAGAGCTACAGCGCCGCGGAGAAGCGCATTCGATAGCCCTTTTACAGACCTTTTTGAATAATGTCCTCAGATTTCACCTCAGGTCAACGGTTTAGCCTCCAGAGGGCAAAAACTCAAAAAATAGCCGTTTTTACGAAAAGTGTTTTATCGGCAATAACTTTTGACTCAAAAGAGCCATGACATTACTTTTGCCAGCATCGTGTTCCTCTTATCGAGACGCGTCGAATGAACTATAATTTGACCTTGAAAGGTCAACTTGAAAATTTGACCTCTGGTCAAGGTCATGACCTGACCGGAAAAGGTCATGCTGCATATCAGTCGATCCGCAACGTCGAACCGATCACATCTAAGGCGTTTTCAGCGCTCTAGCACGCCTCTATCAGAAGTTATTAGCGAAAAACTGTTAGATTCTGTTCGTGACCTGAGATGACCTCGGGGACATAACGAGGGGTCACAGTTGCCATTTTCCGGTTCAGTGTGTCAATTTTACCTACATCTCAATGTTTGAGTGTCTAGAATAGCGTTCGTGCAAAACAGACGCTTTTTAATTTTCTCCCATTGACTTATAATGGAAAGGCCGCAAAATTGACCTGACCTTAGGTCATCGATATCAAAATTCCGAGATATACATTTTATAGATAATGCTGCACTTATCAATCGCTGAAAGTTTCAAGGCAATCGATCAATCGGTGTAGCTATGACGAGCATTCTTATTTTTTCTGAGGTGAGGTTACTTGGCGTGACCTGGTGACCTGACCTAAGGCGACCTGGGCCTGAAATTTTTACGACATGTGCGGAAGACATGCACGAACAGGTGTGCCAAAAACGGCGGCACTCCGCGCCGCCGTTTTTGAGATATCTGCGAAAAACCGCAGGGGGGGTGTTCAAACACCCCCTGGCCCGGCGCGGGTTAACTTAGTCCACCCACCAGTGTCCTGAAATGTCGCATCATGATTCATGACTGTTGCCATACCAGTTAAGCCACCAGTGACAGTGGCGGATCCAGGATTTTCACTGGGGAGGGGCTGCAGGTCATAATTGGGCGCCACGCCCCGGATGGGCGCCATAGTCGCATCGTATTGGCGCTGAAATATTGGCGCCCAGTGGCCCTGACAAGAGGCGCCCAGGATCAGTATGTACAGTGACACCACACGATTGGAAATATCGGTGCGGAGCGTACTGAAACGACGTTATTCGACTGATTTTTGCATCCTAGTCCTAGTATGCGGCACTCCGATGAGTTGCGAATTGAAAATTGGCGCCACTGCGCCTTCGGCGCAGTGGCGCCAGTTTTCCTTGGGTGGGGGCTGCCAGCCCCCGCAGCCCCCCCTGGATCCGCCACTGACCAGTGAAGGCCTATGGGTTGCATGTTCTGCAGGACTGGGGAGACATGGGTGTCTACTGTCTTAGTTTGCCTGTTATTAACCCGCGAGTTGCGGGGGGGGGGCGTTAAACGCCCCCACTTTCGCTGGGCCATAGCATAAAAACGGTGCGCCGCAGGCGCGCCAAATTTTGGGTACCTACTACCTGTAGAGAATTGATTGAAGTTTATTGTGACAAAGTTTAAAAAAAGCTTAAAAAAACGATATCTAAAAAAAAACTTTTTGAGATATCGAGGTTTTAGTGGCGTCATGATTTCTGAGTTTTCGACCAAAAACGGCATACGTTCAAAAAATCATATAAAATCACAGAATAGACATACAGACATGCCGTAAACGGCATTAGACTGCCAATACCATGAACAATCAAATGGCTATCTTCGATTATTGATTATTCGTTCCGCATTTTCCAAAATCTTGAACTGAATCTTGGCAATTTCTCGTGACTACTTCACGACCATGATACATGCATTTCTTAAATTGAATTTGTTTAGCCAAACACATATACGTATGATAAAATGAATGTCACCATCGTGTTCTACGCCCCAAATTACCCATCAAACATGTGTCACATGCTGCGAATATCAGTTTTGATTTTCGGGGATATGTGCCTACCCGGTTGGCCTGACCTTGACCCTGACCTATGCTTGACTGACCCCTACATGGAGCTGACACTCTTGTAGGCCTTATATGATGGATTGTGCACCGTTTTGATAGAGTTTATGACGAGAGGCGCCCATTGCGAAGTCCTGAAGTCAAGCCCGATTTCAGGTGTTTGACCTGACCTTGACCCGACCTGTGACCTCAAAATTCAACTTTTAAGTACTCATATTCTGAAGCGTCTCGTCGCGTTCTTTCGTTTGCCGCCTCGTGCGTTTCGCTGCGCCTGTTGGTTCTCGAGTTATCGGCTGGGGGCGTTTAACGCCCCCCCCCCCCCCCCCCAGCAAACGGTGGGTGGCGAAATACCCCAGCAACTGCCGGGTTAACTTCTGTACTTAGCTGCCACTCTAGTCTACATGACGAATGAGTGTGCTATATGGTCATCTCATTATTGATGTAAAAGTATCTCAAAGAGCAGCCTTTGTAATGTTACAAAGGCTGCTCTTTGAGATACTAAGTGTTCACTTATTCTGTGTAATGTATGTGTAGTATCCACAATAATCACTATTGCACTACCTATTTGTCGTGGTATCCATGATGTTCATTCAGTTTCATTCTCCACTGTTACACCTAGCCATGTTATAATAGAAGTCCATTTGTTCTCAAAGAAACATAGTGGAACAAAGTGGTGACTCCATTACATTCACAACAGGTATGCCACGGCCACGGGAGGAGCGGGCGATCTCGCGTCTAGCTGTCTTACTCAAGAAGAGAAGGGCGCGTGAGTGCAGCGCAGTTCCCGTTTGAAGGCGTCAGCGGAGACGGCTCGGGTTATGCTGACTGGTGACATTCCGCCGGATGTGGCGGAGACGTTCCCGGCTGCTCCGAGTCGGCTGGAGACGGCGACCTGGCACCGGTAGGTGGCGCTGGCAGCGCGCTCTCCACGGGTTTACGGCCTTAGGTCATCGGGGGACACTAGGCGGAGCGGAGAGGGCGGCTGCGGTGTAGCTCCGTCAGCTGACGGCGGTGGATCCGACTCGGGCGCTGACCTCGGGCGGTAGGTGGACCAGGTGCGCCACGTTCCAGGTAGGGTACTATTTTCTAGCCAGGATGTCGCGGGCGACACTCTCCGAGTCACCCGGAGTGGCTGCGAGGGTCTAGGCTGGTGCCCGGCGATGTGGTCCGGCTTCGGCCGAGAATAAGACGTCACTCCTGCCCGTGTCCGGACAACTTTTCGTCCGATATTTTTTTATTAGGACATTTTTTTCGTCCGCAACCAATAATTCCTCTTCTATGTTGTCTGTCTCCTATTATTACGCTCGCATTTTTCGACGAAAATAAGCACTTTTCGTCTGATATTTTTCGTGTGTAAATTATCGTCCGTTTTTTTACGTAACATGTTTTCGCATGTGTATAGACTTATAATAGAGGATTTTCGATGGCCTCACCAATATGGCCGCTCAAGGTTGTTTGAGTGGCAAAAGCCGCCACCTCGCGCCATGCGCAATAATTGGATGAGCGGCTTGGGATGTTGGAGCCGTGCTATTTTCTGGATAATTCGCCAGCGTTGGCGACGTATGGTGGCGCTAATAGAGCAGCACCATATGACATCAGCGGGAAACACCGTAAGCAGCTACGAAATGGGAGTGAGCACCACGGAAATATTGTAATGTGTTGGACATGTGCAGACTTCGGTCGTTCCAGTTCCACAAACACCATGCAAAAACTATTCTATATCTTCAAGTTTTATTCTTGAAATTATTTGTTTGATTGACAGAAAACGTACAAAATGATGAATGCTAATTTTTCAAACAATACAAGGATATTCTTGTTTCATACTTTGATCATGAGGTGTACTTTTGCAATGCTTTTGACTAGCTTTCTAGTGCGCCCATCACTATCTTAAAATCTGGATTGCAACGCTGTATGAAAACATTTTCTCATTTTACAATGTTTCTGCTTTACAGCTACAAAATAGTTGTGTTTCACATCAAAAAATACATTAAGAAAAGCAAAAGCTTGTGGGATCTGTAGCGTTCAAAAGAGCTAAATTCTGAATATGCCAGGAAGCGAAAGGCAGCCTCAAGAAAATCGCGCCCAGGATGTAGATATCTTCGCTGTTGGCGGCCAGGATTCGTTTGGTAACGCGTGTCACGTGCTGCTTGCCAAGTCCGAGCTTGCGTAGAACAGAAAGGCCCATCAAGTAGGTCTGCGCGCCTGAGTCGGCCACGGCGCTGACAGCCGCGGATCGAGGCGGAGGTCCGTCGAGGCCGAGCGTGTCGTACGCGTCGGTGTCCACCTCTACGAGCACCTCGAGGGTGGGGTGCGGAGGGGTCGCCCCCACTCGCCAGCCGCGAGTGCCGTCGAACACGTAGTGGTCGTCGATGGAAATAAATCCACTTCTGGTGCGGCTGACACTGTTGATGCTGGGAATGCGGGAGGGCTCCTGGAGGTCAGTGGACGTGGCGTACTGGAACACGGCAGCCTCTGGCTGGGTCTCGTCCCGCCGGTTGGCCTCCACGTGTGCGGGTGGTTGGCGACGCCGTACGGCGTTCTTGCGCCAGCACTCGAGGCAGGAGGTGAACTCTTTCACACGGCCCCGAACGCGCCCGAATTGCCGCGTGACTGTGTCGCACGCGCACCGAAGCGACTTGTCAGGCACCGACGGCCGGGTGGGCTGTGACGACTTCTTGTATGCGCTGGCGGCAATGCGGAGTGGTTCTTTGTCATGCAGCATGTGGGGACCCTGACAGAAGTAACACCTCCTTCCTGAACTTTGTGCTCTATCTACTTCGACAGGATCTCGGACTCCAGTGGCGAAGCTTGACCGTTTAGGTGCCTTCTCGGCGAGCGTCTTCGTCTTGTGGGCGTCTTTCGTTGTCTCTTCTCTCCCGAAGACAGGATCAGTAACTATCGCAGCCTCCCTCTCCACGAACTCTACCAAGTCCGCGAACTTTACCAAACGCCTCATATCTTCTGTGATACTGTATCCCAGACGGCGCCAACTGTCTTGCATGTTCTGTGGCAGCTTCTCCACCACGACCTTCAAGATCTGGGGATTGTCGAGCTCTCTCAAGCCAGGCGTGATCTGCATGGCGTTCCTACACCCCACCAGGGAGATGGAAAATTCATCCAATGACGAGACGCTGCCCTTCAGAGGTGGCCAGCAGGTTACCTTTTCTATGTACGAGTTGGCTACGCGGCCAGGACACCCATACCGCTTCTCCAACAACCTTCTGGCTTCTGCGTACCCTGTTGCTGGATCCAGTTGCATGCAGCCCCTCACCAGCTCTCTTGCTTTTCCGGAGACGTGCTGGTCGAGATAGTACAACATCTCACTTGGGTCTTCCACTCGTGAGGCTATGCTATCCCTGCTTCAAACGCACGCTTGAAGGAGGCATACTGCATCACGTCGCCATCAAATCTTGGCACTTCAGCCGGTGGCAGAGTGTAGGGTGAAGTCGTATAAGAGTACGCACTTAGTGGATTTCTTGCTCTCATTTGTTTAATATTTGAAAGAAAGAAATCGCAAATAGGGAATATTAAAGGTCATTGAATTAGCCATCAACCCATGGGGCAACGATCCTTCAGCGTAAATGGAAGTGGTCTAAAACTGACATTTTCTGAACCGCTGCAGTTGCGTACTCTTACCATATGGGGTGTGTAAGAGTACGCACGCCAGGCGGGTGGAGTACGCAAGCATATGAACACACACCTATGCAGCTTGTACTGTCCAAATGCTTAACTTCAAACTCAGAAGGCATCTAAGTTAATTCTAGTATCCAAAAAGAAAAACAAAATAAATCTTCAAGTCTATAAATCAGGAAATAATCATATCGTGTGTTTCTTAAAGAAAATGCACAATCAAAAGGGAGAATAACTCGTATTTGGAAGAATTTCGGGTACGCATCTGCATCACAGTGCTCCATTGATGATATACCTACAAAACAAGCGCCGTTGAGCGATAGATTAATAATTTTATATTTCTGTATATTCGATTTAATGTATAATTCTGCGTACTCTTACCCTCCTGAACAGTGCGTCCTCTTACCGCACATGCAATTCGCGCACAAAACAACCCCGAAACGTTATGCAAAACTTCGCAAACAGAATATTGCACTGCACAGTACTTCCCAGATAACCTCACAAGTTTCCCACAACAATCACGGAAATGTACCTTATCTCAAGTGCCAAGTATCAAAATTATTGTACCATACCATAATGATATCATAACGCTCGAAAATAATATTCATCACCTTAAACTCAACAGCGTCGCCGCTCAAAGCCCACGTTCCGTTGGTGACAAGCGTTTCTGAGATATAACCGGAAATGTAAAAGTGCAAAACCTACCGCTTAATCTCGCGAGACCTGTACATAGGTCTGCAGTCACTTGCCAGCTGAGTGGCTTCCTGCTGGTGGCCCGCCGACTGAGGGACTGACTGCCGGATGGGATTCGCCACAGACTGAGACACTGACTGCTGCTGACTCACAAACTGAGGGAGTGACTGCTGAGTGGCCCGCCGACTGGCACTTGCTTCGTTTAGCAGGAGCGGCAGAGTTGTGGTTTCCACTTGCTGCAAAGCGGCACCACCTGCGCCACCACTCATCAGAGTCTGTGACAACAAAAGCAGCCATGCGAGGGGGCGCTGCACGGTGTGCTCATGCATCCACTTTCCCTCTCAACACATTACCTCTCGTGTAAGTCATTGAGTATGATTGTCAGAGGCAAGTTGAATTCACTTCTGACACACATATCCATGGGAATAGGATGGGTAATGCCTGCAGCATGACCCTCTCAAGCTGCAAGTGTTTAAATACCTACTTTGAGAAAAAGCGATAACGGTATGATATTTATTTCTACAAAAAGAGCATACATAGTAAAACATGTTCCCGCTGAAGTGGTACCATCTGTCGCAGTCGTCGCATGCCACTGTAGATGCCGGTCGTACCGCCATACACTCGGCACAGGTCCAGTAGCGGATAACGTCCTTTGCTGCGAATCAATGGCTTAGATTAATTTTCCAGGGCAAGATGCGCTTCTAAGATCAATGGAATGCCGAGAGACTCTGCTCGTAAGGAGGTTGTCACTAACCAAAAGGATTCATTTCTCTGTGACTGGGATACCATGAGCTATCGAAATGAGTTGTTTATAGATTCACATGGCGAGAAATATTACGATGATGAAAGGATGAAAATGTTTACCATTGCACGATCACGTAAGGTAGTACATGCGGAAATTCATATAAGCCCGCACGATGTATGGCCGAAATCATGCAATCCCGTAAAAACAGCATAAATACATGTGAACAAAACGAGCTCAAAATGTTCAAAATACAATGCAGCTATTGATGACCAAACATTGTTATAGCGTGGACTTACCGAAAGTCTCAAGGGCAAGCAGTGCCTCTCCAGTCACGAGGTCACTAGCTTGAAGCTCTTAATTTTCCCCGCGAGCCTGGCGATCTCTAGTGGGGCGCCTTCGACGCTGAGGCACAGATCTGCAGAGGTCAGAGGACGTGCCACCAGCGCCTCTCGCATGACCTCTCCGGGACATACGTGCTCCAACAGCCCTGTGAAAACGATGTCAAGAATCAGTTCATGTATGAAATGTAATGGTGTTTGCAACGTATGAAAGCTTAAAGCTGACTTTCTCCACAAAGTTCGTTATATAAGTTCGGAATATAATATCATTATATTCCAATGAAATGATAATTAGGCGCGTCACAGTTGCCTCCGAATTTTTTAGGAAAGAGATCAAAGTAGTGAGCACAATTGAATAGGGCGAGCCAAACCAGCCTAATCTGGAGTTACTGTTAAATATATGCATATAGGTGAAAGAAAGGGTTTTGTAGAATCGATTAATTTCGAAGTCGTATATTCAGAGACAGAGGCCCCAAATAAACCTCGTGTAGCTAT